AGTGGATGGAGCTGATGCAGCAGTTATCTGGCATAACTCCTGGCATCATGAGTAGGGATAAGAGATTTTGGAAGTGGGATAAAGCAGGAATTTTCTCAGTGAGATCTTTCTATAATAAACTCATGGAGGATTTCCCAGAAGCTATAGTGTGGAATACTGCAGCCCCTCCAAAAGATGCTTTTTTTTTTTTTATTATGGGTGACAGTATTGGGTAAATGTTTGACAGTGGATGTTTTGGCTAGGAGAGGGCTGAGTGTCCTGCCTAGCAAGTGCATATTGTGCGAGGAAGCTTCTGAAGATTCAGACCACCTATTGATCCACCGTAGAGTTGCTCGAAACCTATGGGCAAAGTTTTTGGGACTCTTTGAAGCTCAGTTCTGTTTCCCAGAAAATCTACTAGCAGTACTACAGAGTTGGCAGCTGAAAGGTCTCTCTAAAGAAGGCAAGGTTATTTGGGGTGTAGGTCCAGCTTTAGTGGTTTGGACAATATGTGAAAGAAACAAAAGACTATTTGAAAATAAGCTTGTTACAAAGGAAAATTTATGTAAAGGATTTTGGGGTAGGATGTACTCATGGGTAGGAACACATAGACTATTCAGGAATAGATCATATAGCTCTTTTTGTATCTATGCACACAGAGCATACACTTTAGAAGATGTACAGTTTTTGGTTGGGCACTGTACAGCTCCTTGTTGTGCAGATCTGGATTGATTTTTGTCTAATATAATACATTACCTTTCTCTCAGAAAAAAAGGCGCATAGAGAATTCTTAATGGGCAGTTGTTATAAGGTTGGTAAAGGTAAACATATCAGATTTTGATTTAGGGTTGATAATTGATGCGGGGATAATCCATTAATGGAAACTTTTCGCTCTCTATTTATGGTGACTTAAAAACAAGGGAGCCTTTGTTAGAGATTACCATGAAACCACCCATGGTAATGTCATTTGGAATCCATGTTTCAGAAAGAACCTGGATGATCAGGAGGGAGGTGGAGTTCTTGGTGGATTTGCTGCAAAGATTCCTCACAGGCCTCAGGAGGGGCTAGCCAATTGCAGAAGATGGTTATGCAGTTGGGATGGTATTTTCTCTATTAAGTATTTCATCAGGAGACTTGAGCATTCCCCTTGGCTTGAGTTCCCTTGTTTAAGCATTTAGCAATCTATGACATCTTCCAAGGTCAAGTTCTTAGCATCGACAGCAGCAGTGGAGAAGTGTCTCCCATATGATAAGCTCCTGAGCTGGGGGTATGGTAATGGATAATATGTGCTGTTGTCTATGTTCTAGTGCTAAGGAGACTACAAATCATATTTTTCTCCAATATCCTTTCTTTTGTTGGACAAAAAGAGAGAGTAACATAATTGTCAAGACAACACTTAGGCGACAAGGAACCCATGAAGGGTTGCCTTGCTTTTATATATTTTTATTTTCTCAATTTTTTGAGATTATAATAATAGAATAGATATTATTAAACTAAATCATTCATTTTGTGAGTTAAAACACTAGTTTCTTTCTATTAATTTATTATTTGTTAGGGTTAAGGTTCGGACTGTATCCAGTCTACCCCTCCCAACCTTAGATAGCTTAGACTAACATCTGTAATGGCCTTTTTTTTTATTTGTTAGGGTTCAATGCTTTTTTTTTGATAAATAATATCACACTTCATTAAGATCAAGAGGAAGATACAGTCCCTTGGAGAGGCATGAGATGCTGCCTCTCCAACAAAGGAAACCCAAAAGCAAAACTATAACAAGGAGCACATGAGTGCTACTACAAGATTACAATGTAGCCCAGAACAGTGTTTCCCTAATTGTCCCTTGTTTAAACAAAGTATCAACAAGGGCGTTTGCTGATCTTCCCACCCACTGTACTGAAACAGACGTTTTTTGTTGGCCATTTATACTTCTTTAACTCATTCTTGTAAATCCTTGCAACCTTCTCTGAATTATTTAACCACCCCACTACTATCTTAGAGTCCCCCTCAATCAGCACCTGCTCCACTCCCAATTCTTTTGCGAGGACACCTTGTATGGCGGCTAACAATTCTGGGCTAACAGAATTCCCAACTTCCAAAGGGCCAGAGTAGAGAAGGATAACCTCTCTAGCCTCATTTTTCAAAACTCCTCCCATCCCAGAGGGCCCTGGGTTGCCCTGGCTGCTCCCATCAAAATTCAGTTTCAGAAAACATTGTGGAGGGGGGCCCAGTTTGTAGAAACCCTGTCCTTTATGGAAGAGCAGCTTGCTACTGCTGTCCAGTTCCTCCATGGGTCATTAAAGGAGAAGGGATGAAACAGTTCGAAAGATTTAACCAACATATTTCCCTATTTAAGATGCAATCCTTCAATGCCTGGTTGCTCCTTTCCTTCTCTTGGAATAATCTTGAATTCCTTTCTTCCCAAACTGTCTAGATCAAAGCTGCCCTTGCACACCTCCACATGCTTCTTCCTCTTTTATGGGGCCATGAAAAAGTAGATGAATTGAACAACAAACTTAAATCTATTGGCACCTCCCACCTACACCCAAATAAAGATAAAAGCCAACCCCAAAGCTCTATAGTGACACCACAGGATAGAAATAAATGATAACAGTCCTCGTCATGAGATCTGCAAAGGGTACACCAGTTAGGAGAGATACAAAGAAAGGGTCTTCTCTTTTGTAGGTTATCCGTGGTGTTGACTTTCCCATGGCACACTTCCCAAGAAAAGTCATTACCTTAGGGGGGACCGGCCTACACCATACTTCTTTGGAAGTGACTTAAAAAAGGAACCACAGGAAAATAACCCTTAACCCTTGATGAAAACTAAAATCCAAAGACAAGACCGATGGATTTAATGCCGAAGGAACTTTGAAATCACCTCATTTTTAAACCAAGAAACATGAGACAAGGAAGGAAAAAGATCTTTAAGAGGGAGATCCCTAGCCCAAGTGTCTTCCCAAAAACGAACAAAAGTCCCAGAACAAGTTTCATACCTGACACAGTTGAGAAACTTTAGGAGAATTTTGTGGATTGCCTTCCAAGGTGTTGCCATGTTAGCCCTTCTTGATCCACTAGCATCCTTTCCATTCTTTGAGCATCCATGAATACTCTTCACCACTTCATACCAAAGCCTCTCTCGCTCCAAAGGCCATATCCATAACTACTTCCTTAGTAGATCCAAATTCCTTTTGATCAAATTTCCTAAACCTAATCCACCTTCCTCTTTGCTTCTACCCACAACCTCCCATCTGATCAAATGATCTTTTTTCCCCTCTCCTGGTTCCCAAAGGAAGTCTTTCATCAATTTTTCTAATTTCTTCGCCTCCCTAGGCGGTATCCTAAAGACAAAGAGGTAATAAGTAGGTAGGTTTGTAAGGGTAGCTCTTATCAATGTGATCCTTACACCCAACGAGATGTAATTTTTCTTCCACACTGCTAACCTCTTCTCAAACTTCTCTATGATTGGAGTCCAAAACCTACTCTCCCTAGGATTTGCCCCTAAAGGAAGCCCTAAGTAAGACATAGGCCAAGAGGAAGTAGAGCATTCAAGGCAATGTGCAATAGCCTCAATCTCCTCATTCTCCAAATTAATCCCTACTATGCAACTCTTTTCTAAGTTGATTTTCAAATTGGAAATTTCTTCAAAGGCCTTAATCAACTCCTTTAAGTTTCCCACCTTCTCACTAAAGCTTCCATCACAAAATATCATTAAATCATCTGCAAACTGAAGATGGGTAACTGGAACTTGGTTTCTGCCTATTCTCCAACCATTTATGACCTCTTCCCTATCAGCCCTAGTGATAATTCGACTAAAAGCATCAACTACCAAGGTAAAGAGAAAAGGTGGTATATGCTGTCTTAAACCTTCAAAGACTTCAAAACCTAAACTGGTAAAACAAGGAAGAACTTAAAACTTTGTCCAACCAACAACTTTTCCTAGGACAAAAACAGGGGCTCAGTCTATCTATTTTCTGAATTTTCTTTTCTTTTTTCTTTTCCAACCCGTGAATATGTTGATTTTCTATGTTTTCATATTAAGTTTATACTGTCTGTGTGAAGATAATAGATAATTACTAGTGAAAGATGGTTTATGGTTGCTATGGAACCAAGAGAACTAGCCTAGGATTCATGTTTTCTATTAAAAACAAACCTCAGTCTCTGAAGCTAAAGTCCAGGCCCTTCTTGCAGGTCTCAGATTTTCCAAATTGATCTAAGTTGTTTTTGATAGTGGAGGATGATTCTGGGAATGTGGTTGGCTGGGCAAAAAGATATGGGGCTGCTCCTCGGAGGCTATCTCATCTTCTTCACAAAATTCTTGAGTTATCTGCTTCCCTTGGCTGCAGTTACAGATGGATTCCAAGAGAGATAACAAAATGGTTTATTCTTCAACTAAATCTGGATCATAGAGGATGTTTCTGTATAGTACAAATATTTTACCTCATTCTTCTGCCTAGGAGCATCTCAAAAGTGTTGATAATCTAACTTCTTCAATTAAAATTTAGATTCCCTTGGCTGCAGTTACAGATGGATTCCAGGAGAGATAACAAAATGACTTATTCTTTAGCTAAATCTGGATCATAGAGGACGTTTTTGTATGGTACAAATATTTTACCTCATTCTTCTGCCTAGGAGCATCTCAAAAGTGTTGATAATCTAACTTCTTCGATTAAAATTTAGATAGCAAGTAAAAATAGAACTAAATTTCATTTTAGAAAAGCAGAGATAACTAGTTTGATTCTCTATAGTTTGGTCCAAATAACTTTTGATAACTCAGGAAAATACTCAGTTACTCACCTATTATTAATTATATTACATATGGAAATTATAGTATTATTAATTTTTAAATATTACTTGTAAACTCAGTTGAATCACCAATAGCTCGGCCAAGATGCAATCTAGATCAGATCATCAACTTGGTGAGTTCTCCGGGTTTGATGGTTTTAAAACACCAACTGAGATTTATATTTGATACTCAATCTAACTAAAGACAGGCAATATAAATTATGCCAGAAGTGTGTACACACCTGCAATGAGATCATCACATTCCTTGATCAAATTGATGAATCTTGAATCTCCTGGTGACAAAGCAGCACCTGCCTCAAGTGCTGCCTTTGCAGTCTGGAATTCCTCGAGCTTAATACATGCAGTACTACATACAAGAAAAGCCATAAAATTAACAACACTTAATGGATTTGATAGTATGAAATGAGTGTAATAGTAAGCACCAGACGATGACAATTGACAACTACCATATATGAAGGCAAGCAACACAATAAAAAATAGAGTCCATTCCTCATGTACAATTAATTAATGTCCCTTCTATCCAATATGTTGAAAAGATCATCGTAGTGAACCACTTAAAGGCATTATGAAGTGTCACACTTTTTTTTAAGAAAAGAAAGAAAAAACAGAAAAACAAATAAGAAAAAATATCAACTGCAACACTTATATAGTAAACATGTTTGGTCGCATGGAGAATAAATGGAATCCAACAATTTTTTTATCCATAACAAAACTCATCAATTTCAAAAGCATGATCCACTCACCCTTTACGCAAGTATGCCTTGGTCATGGAAGGATCCAACTCAATTGCTTTGTTTGCATCAGCAATAGCCTCTGCTCACAAAATGTGTTTGGATAAGAACCACTTTTTCAACTAAAGCTACAATTACTATTATAATAATACATTGCAATAAAGGAGTTCCATTCGACATCCCAAGTATATCATAGTTAACAACATCCAAAAAAAGGAATTCCAGGATATCTATGAAAATCAATCATGAAACAAAAAACAAAAAAAAAAGTGAATAAAAGAAACAATATAGAAGAACACTGGATTTGAATTTCCTATATTTCCTATACTTGTTTACTTTATTCAACTTTTGCTTTTTTTTCTTTCTATTATAATTGTTTGATTCCACAAGTAAGAAACACATTACATTTTAATTTCCAGAGTGTGGATTTGAATTTATTTCAACCTCTATCTGATGTCATTTCAACCTAAACAGTAATGCTGTTAATTAGTCAATACCAATAAAAATGCTATTAATTAGTCAATAAAGGTAGGACGCCGTAAGCAAATGCCACTCACCAATAACTTAAAATCACCTTCCCAAATCAAGAAGCTAATTATCGATGGATTGACAAATGCAAAAGATAGAAAGCAATGTGAAACATAAATTAGGCCTATTATGAATTTTCAACCGAGTTCCTTTCATACAACTTGGCTTGTGAACTAAGCTTACTTGCCTACGTCCAACTTCTAGATAAGAAAATTTCTTTAAAGAGACACTGAAATAACATATTCAACCAAAAGAACACATTCTGGCCCATTAATTCCAATTACACACGCATAATCTTCAGATTTTGTTGCAGAGTACAACAAGAATAACCACACTATGATTTTTAATCCAGTGAGCATGGAGCTCTACCTCATATTAAAGGAAAAACAAATCCGACGACATACAAATCAACAAGTTAAATAGACATAATCATCCAGAGAGACATTAGGAAAACAACAAACAACTCAAAACAAACTAAAGTTTATGAAAGTAAAACGAAAAACCTTCATATCTCAAAAACTTCAAAGTAGATGAATACCAGTGTAGCTCTTGAGCTTGATATTGGCCTGTGCGCGGTCGGCGTAGAGATCTGCGTTGTTAGGGTCCATATCTATAGCCTGAGTGTAAAGATCAACAGCTAATTCGAAGTTATCGTCGACGAATGCCTCCTTCGCCTTCTTTTCAAGATCAGTCGCCATTAGAGAGCTTTGGGGAGGAGAGCGAACGATTGATTGCGAGATGCAGATGACAATGGAATGAGCTTCACTTGCTACTGATTTTGCATTAAAAACAGCGGGGTGGACTCGGAGAAGACTCAAAGAATTGAGAAGATTCCACCTTCTGGAGAATTCTAAAGTCTAAGCGACAGCCGACAGCTACGCTATGACCCGGTGAAGTCGTCGGGAGAATCTGGTGACCCCAGTACAATACATCTATTTGTATTTTATAGTTCTCTCTTTTTTCTATTAATTTAATGGTAAAATTGTTAATAATTTGCGTTCCAACCGTATTCAATTGATCCCGCCTTCTCGTGCAAATCGGAGCGGCTTTTTGTTTTTTATGAAAAAATAATACAATGAGCTAAACAAGACTGGCGTATCTCTTCCATGGTTTTTAAAACCGACCCGGAGACCGAACCGGTTAGGTCTGATTACCTACCGAGTTGACAAAAAATAAAAAATTAAAAAATAAAAAAAAAGATCAAAACCGTTCTAACGATTAACCGCCCGGATCAATGATTTATTGACCAAAATCAAAGATTTTGGAGAAAATCTAGTTTTGAGGAAAAATGAAACAAGTCCTGACTGGTTCTTGGTTTTCCAATCCGATCATCCGGTCCGTGTTTGAAAACCATGATTTCTTCCCTGCGAATCAGCAAATAGCCCTAAGATTACTAGGGATGAAAAAAACATGACCATTTAATGCATTACGAGCCAACTAATCCATTGCCTGATTAGCTTCTTGATAAGGTCGATCCAGTTAGATCGATTGAGGTCAACCCTAATTCAACCTGAGTTGTTGAACTCCCAACCTTCACTCAACTTTATATCTCAGCCTGCATTGAAAACATTTTCTGTATTTGTTATTAGAAGATATTTTAAACATACAATTGATATGTGCTTTGGGGTATCAATGATATTAAACCCACGTCCTCCCCCTAATGTCACCAAATTATGGTCATCATGTTCATATCTGTCCCTATAGATCACGCCTAAAAAATGTCACAGAGCACATCCTAACGGAACATCTCACAATGATAAATATGAGAGATGTTCTCAATACACGCTGAGATAAGGTATATGTTTGGCATTGATGATGCGGATATGATAGATGTTCTTAGAAAATAGTGCTGCTGATGTGTGGATTGGAAGCATCATTTTTTGAGAAAAAGCAGTGTTTTTTTTATTTAAAGACGTTGCTGCCAGGTATGACGTTTTTTGGAGCAATAGTAGCACTTTCTATTTGGTACCAGTGCTCCATATCTGTTTTCAGCACTGGTACCTGATGTAGCGCGATCCGGACACTCCTAGCTGACTGTTGATTAGCTCCTTGTTGGCAACGAACGGCACCTGAGAAGATGAAAGGAAGAATTCCCGGGGGTTTACCCGATGGGAATACTCCGAAACTTAAGTTAGTATTGTGTCTAGGAAATAAAGAGAAAACGAAGGCTAAGAGTGGAGGTCACGCTTATCACTATATTCGAGCGAGTAGAGGTTTTTTTCCAGAAGACCTTCCTCCTCTGCCCTGAGGGCTTTTATAGAGGCGCTTTGTGAGATCGGGCATAACCGCCACTGGGCCCCTGCCAGGGTTGCGCAGGTGGCCGTTGTGACGTGCTCCTTGCCCGGGTAAGTGACACGTCCCCAAAGTGACAGGCATGCCTCCGCCTGCTGAGAGACGTGAGTGCAGACTGCCGAAAGGACAGGGACTGCGCCGTCAGTAAGGGACTTGGCGCAGTCTGATTGGTACGGCCTGTTGGATAGAAGCTTCCTGAGGAATGCTCGTGTGGCTCATTCGTGAGCTACTCTTCAGCGAGCTCGGAGTACTTCAGGAGTGCCCTTAGTAGAACTGATCCTCGGGATGACTTGTCTGCTTGGGAGCTCGGGTGAGTTGGTTTCCTTAGCTTGCGAGCTAAGGTTGCCTCGGAATATCCCTTTGGAGGCAGCTTGGGGAACTCGGAGCTCACGTCGTGGTGAGCTCCTCTTTTTGCGTGCTACGATGTAGCGAGTTGCTTTATGGGCCCATTACTTAGCCGTACTGGACCGCAATGCTGAGTTGTTGCCTACGTCGAGTCAGTGTCCACGTGTCGCCGTTTCATAGATCGGGTCAAATCATCCTTCATCAATTTCCCCCCACTCCTCAGGCTAAGAGTATCGCCTTAGCCTGGGGAGTTTATGAAGCGCGATGGACTGATTTGACCGAAATTCAAACTTGATTGACTACCCCCATTAAATGCATTTGCGGGAATCAAGAGATCTTCTGACTTCCTTGACTTTTTGGATTCTGAAAACGTGCTGAGGTGGCCTTTAATTTCGAACGTCGTGCGGCTGCGACTACCTTAATTGTGGAAGATGTGCCGCCAACCGCCTTCGGTTTTCAGAAGGCGTGCGGTTAGGGTGTCTGCGGACCGTTGGATCTGCTTTGATTCGGGCCGTCAGTTTGAAAGGACGAGGGCTATGAATAGGGGGGCCCCTCGGGCCCTATCTTCTTCCATGCCATCTTTTGGATTCTGAGGTCGTGTACTTCGCCTAGCCTACTCGAGTTCCTCAGTCTGCTCCGTTTCGTTTACTCTGGTGAGTCCTAATCGCCGTCAGCCATGTTTGGGTACCCACGCCATACCTATCACAGGGGTGATAGCCAGGATGATGATGCTCCCTCGAGCTCGGGAGGAGCCTGGGAGCATGTTCCGGAGGCTCGGGAGGCCTCTGGCGACATGGCGTCTACTTCTAGGGGGAGGGAGACTGATACCTTTGGCCCTTCCTTAATGACAGC